GGGGTTTTGCCCTGTTGGCCAGGCTGGTCTTGAAGTCCTGAGCTCAAGTGATCAGCCACCTCGGCCTCCCAAAGTGCCGGGATTAGATGTGTGAGCCACCGAGCCCGGCCAAACGTGTTCTTTTTCATGCTTACAAGATGTCATGTCACAAACAAGTTTTTGCATTTTTGTAAGATGAATTCTTTGTCAATGTTTAACGATTGTTTTAGAGTTTTGAAAAATGCAAACAAAATTAACTTTGGGGATAAAAGAACATAAAATGTATTTCTGATCCTTCTTCGTAGCTTATAAAAATTAATTTAGACTTTTAAATGTACTTTCCCCCGTAAATTATTGTATCACTCTGTACAGGCTCTTTAGCGTGCGGGGCCACACAACCGCCACTCACTCTGTCCTGAGGTGAACGCCTGGATCTGAAAACCGACTTTTCCCTGACTCCACGCGGACTGTGGAGGAAACCAAGCCGCTCAGCTCCGCTACTGTCCGGCGCCCGCGGTCCCGGCGCCAGTGCACCCACATACCCCTGACCGCGGCTCCTCCCGTGGGCAGCAAAGGGACCCCAGGCTGGGTCAGCGCTTCTGAGTTCCAAGCAGAGATCCCCGACCCCCGCACTCCGGAGCGAATTCCCACACACACATTCCGGGCCGCGATAGGCCATCTCCACGTGGAATTTGCCCACGGAAAAGCCAGGGTTCCCCGTTCCTGGGGGCACAGAGTTCGTTCAGCACGCGCCATCACCTCACCTCTGCAGCCACCTATGCGGGGAACCGGTTGGACTGAGACTGCAATCGCCCACTCCCCGGGCTCTGGCGTCTGCTGTGTGGGCATCTGCCTGCTCTGCAGACGCCAGACAGGACCCGCCGCGCTCCTGGCTACCTCCCGAAGTTTCACCTCTCGCCCCCACTCTGCCCCGAGGACACTCACCCGCCCGAAGTCATCCCGAATCCCGCCGCCCTCGGACGGACGGCCGGACCTCGCGGAGACTAGCAGCAAGGCCGGCGACTGCCCCGTCCTGGCACCGACCCGGGCAAATTGTCAGGCAGCAGGGCAGGTGCAGGAAGCTTGGGGCGGTCCCCGCCCTCGTCACCCACCGCCCGCCCACGCCCTAGGTATTTCTGTGGCCCAGCCTGGCGCTGACGCATCCAAGCATCGTTGTCGTGGTTTGGGGACCACCAGACCCCGCGACGCACAGCCCGGCCAGTGGCCTGCGCGCAGGAGAACGCCAGAAGGCTGCAAGGACGACCACCGCCCCTGGGTGGGACACTTGCTAGGTAAGCAGTAAGCTCCGCGCTAAGCGTTTCATCTACGCGTCGTCATCGATTTGTTGCAATAGTCCTACCAGGTGAGGACAGTTATTAGCCCCACTTTTCAGACGAGCAAGCTGAGGCAAAGTGGGGTAACCCGCTGGAAAGTGCAGACGCAGGATTCGAACCAAGTCTGGGTGACCCGAAGCTCGACAGCCGAGCATTTTCTGTCCCTCGAACTTGGAGCTAAGTTATAAGACGCCACCTCTAGTCTCCAGACCCTCCGGACTCTACCGCGTGCGTGGTCCGAGCTGAGAGTCCCCGGACTTCTGGGTGGAAAGGGGTGGGCGAGACGGGGCAGGGAGGCCCACGTGACCCAGGGTTGGTCGCGTCTCCCTCCACTCGCCCACCAAGAGCAAGGAGCGGAGTCCCCTGCCCTTCCCACCCCGGGTCCCCGTCCTCTCCCTGGGCTGCCGTAGCCGGTCCTAGTACCGCAGGGTCAATCGCGAGCTAGCCGAGCGGCAGTGCGGCAATCCAGTCCCCGCCCTTCTCTCCTGACCGCCCCCACCCCAGCGCCCCATCTCTACTCTGGATCTTTCTCCTCCGCCTCCAGCGATCGGGCTTCTCTCCCGCTTATAGGAAAACACAATCTCCCCGCCCACCCCTAGTCTATCACCGCGGCCACTACCTTTCCTTCCCCGCTACGCTGTGTCCACGCGCCCTCCAACCTCTCGGACTTGACCCGCCCGCAGCTCACGCTGGGGTCGCTAAATTCGGCTTTGGTCCCACCTCCACCCTCCACGTCACCCCACACTCCACCCGAACTGTCCTGGCAAAAGACCCCAGGGACCGGAAAGTCGGGGTGTGGCGGAATCACTCTAACAGGCAGGGACCCGTGCGGCCACGTGACACCTGTGTGCCTGGAAGAGTCTGTTGAACTTAAGATGAAATTACATTTGCGGGACTTTTATCGTAAGTCAGGCTCAGTGCTTCCCATGGCTCATCTCAAGCATGACTATATTGTATTCTAATGACCCAGCTGTCACAAATACAAGAATTTATTTTTTGAAACTGTTACCCAGGCTGGAGTGCAATGGTGTAATCATAGCTCATAGCCTCGACTTCCAGTGCTCAAGTGATTCCCCCACCTCAGCCATCTGAGTAGCTAGGACTACAGGCACACACCACCATACCTGGCTAATAAAATAATAATAGTAATAATAATTTGTAGACAGGAGGTCTCTATGTTGCCCAGGCTGGTCTTGAACTCCTGAGCTCAAGCAATCGTCCTGCCTCAACCTCCCAAAATGCTAGGATTACAGGTGTGAGCCACCATGACTGGCAAGAATCTTTCAATGCGGTGTGCAAAATGCATGCAAAATGGGGCCAGGTGCAGTGTCTCATGTGTATAATCCCAGCACTTTGGGAGACTGAGGCAGGTGGATCACTTGAGGTCAGGAGTTCGAGACTAGCCTGGCCAACATGATGAAACCCTGTCTCTACTAAAGACACAAAAATTTAGCCGGGTATGGTGGCAGACACCTGTAATCCCAGCTGCTCAGGAGGCTGAGGCATGAGAATCTTTGAACCCGGGTGGCAGAGGTGGCAGTGAGCCGGGATTGCGACACTACACTCCAGCCTCATTGATAGAAAGTGACTAAGTCTCAAAAAAAAAGCATACAAAACATACAAAATGGGCAGTGTTTTTGTTTGTTTTTGAGATGGAGTCTGGGAAAGTGCATCTGGGAAAAGAGTAGCAGGAAAGGCCAGTGTGATCTACAACTTTAGTGCAAATGAGTCCCCAAATTCAGGTCTGAGCTCCTCAGCAGCCAGCAGAAAAAGGGAGTCCCACAGAAGGGAGTTCTAATGAAGCAATTGCAGATAACTATTTTCCAGCTCCAGACTGGAAAAGAGATCCTCTTTGACAAGACCAATCAGAAAAGTGTTGTACTGACCATGTGCATGTGGGAGGAAAAAGACATTTGTATAACACCTCCTTGCTTACAAAGGGCTTCCGCGTGCATTCCCCTCCTTCATTCAGCTCTTGTAATAACACTGTCAGGCACTTCTCAGATGCGAAGACTGAGCCTATAAGAGTATTCATGACTTGTTCAAGCTTTTGTGGCCAGCAATGGGGCTAGGATTTGCACCCAGGAGTTCTGTCTCTAAAGCCAGTGCTGGGCTCCCTCCAACCCCCTGTATCACCAGCTGTTCTTTTTTTTGGAAATGGAGTTTTGCTCTTGCTTCCCAGGCTGGAGTACAGTGGTGCACTGTCTTGGCTTACCACAGCCTCTGCCTTCTGGGTTCAAGCAATTCTCCTGCCTCAGCCTCCCCAGTAGCTGGGATTACAGGCATGCGCCACCACGTCCAGCTAATTTTGTATTTTGTTTTTTATTTTTTTTAACTCAGAACCATTGTTATATAAAGGTTTTTTGGTATTTTTAGTAGAGATGGGATTTCTCCATGTTTGTCAGGGTGGTCTTGAGCTTCTGACATCAGGTGATCCACCCATCTTGGCCTCCCAAAGTGCTGGGATTACAGGCATGAGCCACTGTGCCTGGCTTCACCAGCTGTTCTGTGAAAGGATTGTATACACAGAGACCCCAAATGCTGAAGGAGCTGAGAAACCAAAAGAGGAGGCAGACAAATCCAGTTTGTTGGGATTGGGTGATTTATTAAGGAAACTTAAAGTGTGGTCTTGGGCACCACAAGGCAGGTAGATCTCCACACTATAACCCCTCAACCCAGAGTTTACATTTTGGGCAAAAAGCATATGTACTCTGGAAAGAATATATAGGTGGCTACAGGCATCACAGCCTTGATTTCTGCAACAATAAGAAGGAAACTTACAATAAATAAGTGTTCATACATAAAGAGTAATACATCAGCTAGACTTTTTTTTTTCAAGATGGAGTCTCACTCTATTGCCCAGGCTGGAGTGCAGTGGCGCAATCTTGGCTCACTGCAACCTCTGCCTCCCAGGTTCAAGCAGTTCTCCTGCCCCAGCCTCCCAAGTAGCTGGGATTACAGGAACGCGCCACCACGCCTGGTTAATTTTGTATTTTTAGTACAGATGGGGTTTCACCATGTTGGTCAGGCTGGTCTCGAACTCCTGATCTCAGGTGACCTACCCACCTCAGCCTCTCAAAGTGCTGGGATTACAGGCGTGAGCCACTGTGCCTGGCCCAACTAGACATTTTAGAGGCACTCCTGGGACTTGGTGTTAAACAGATGGATTTGCATTTAAAATAAAGTCGCTCTTGTCCCCACACCAGCTCTATTTAAGTAGGAAAGTGTTTTCCATCAGTTCTTGTGGTTTGGAAGCAGGGAAGAGGCATAACTCAGGCATAAATCCTGCTTCTCATTAGTGTTGTGATGGGTGATGGTGGTTCCAAGGTGAACCCTCTGTGGTTGCTGATCCTCTCTTCCTGCTCTAGGGATGACAGAAGGAAGGGAGAGTGTATTAAAGGAGAGTGTGTTTACTCTTTTTCAGCTTGACCAGGGTTTCTCCATGTCAGAGGTAGCTGTGGCCCCTGACCATCTAGATCACAGCCAAGCAGCTGCTCTGCTGCTGCCCTGCGTGACAGAGCAGGAATATCACCATTCTGCACAGGTATCGCCATTTGAAAGTTCACCTTGATCAAATTCTTAAGTAACTTGAATCTCCCCTATATTTGGTCATTCCAGCTACTCCCAGTGCCCAGAATACCCAACTCTGGCACAGTGTTGCTGGGCCAAAGGTCAAACTCTTTTTATCTTTCACCATCAAGCCCCTGTCTACTCATCCCTTGTGGGTGAAGCTTCAAGTGGTACACATAGGACTCAGAGTCAACCAATGGATTCTAGTGCCATAACTGAGTTTTCTGAAAGTTGTCCCTGGAAGACTGATTAAGCCAGCTTTGCATCTAGGCCCAGTTAAAACAGCACTTCCTACCAACAGAAAGGCTCAGGGAAGAAGAAAGTAGAACAAGGCCGGGCGCGGTGGCTCAAGCCTATAATCCCAGCACTTTGGGAGGCCGAGGCGGGTGGATCACGAGGTCAAGAGATCGAGACCATCCTGGTCAACATGGTGAAACCCC